CGTCTGTCATTTAATTAGCTGTAGTCTCACACAGTCGTGTCAGCCTTCGAGGAGGGTGTTAATGGATGGAAGGGAGAAGGAGACCCTTCTGGGTGGGCTTTAACAACGGACTCCTGCTTTTCCAAACACTCTCACTGCAGCTGGATAGAACAGAATCCTAGAATGGCGGAGTTGGAAGGGACTCTGCAGGAAGACCACTTAAACCATCCACAAGACCAGCTTCTCCTTAAAAGTCCTGAGAGGATTTTATCATCTAGAAGTTTTTCCTCCTATTTAAACAAAAGCCAGGCATAGGAGCAACCACAGAAAAAAGAGTCAGCCTATACTTTTTCTTAATCAATGCTCTTCCTGTTGTATCTTGCAGAGGTTATGCTATGAAGTATTGCTGTATTGCTAAGTAGGAAAAAGTCTTTCAATGTTCGCTTGATGGAAAGGTTGATTAAGCTGGTTGGAGATAACCACTGCCTCTTTATGTTTCTCCCTCCAGCCCTGAAACACTAACTAGTTAGCGAGCCTGCTGCTCAGAAGCTCTGCCGCTCAACAGGAGAGCTGGAATTTGCTTCCCACTGCTATGACGCTGGCAAAAATGACAGTAATAGTTTAGGAACTCTTCTGTGGGTTGGAAGAAGCTGGAAAGGTTACCTCTAGCTAGAAATGTTCGATGTTAGTGTCTCCTTGTCCCTTTCGCAGTATTTAAAGCATTATTCTTGTTTCCCACAGCAACTTGGATCCTCTGACAGAGACTGTATCTTTTAAGACTTCAGGCTGGAGACGTTAATGGCAGTAGCTGGGGATCTTTGCGTACATTATGTACTTGCCACTGAAAGGTATTTGTTAGGGAGTTACAGTGAATCCCAACACCCTAGTAGAGTTTCTCTACTATGCAGACATGTATTTTTTTGTGGGCGCTTCATAGAAAGATAATATGGAAACCACCTGAAGAGACACACCTATAATCAGAACAATAGCGTCTTACCCTGTAGCTTCCTACCCAGAAGAGTATATTTAGCATTCTTTAACACTTTTGTATCTCCAAAATATTTCACACTAGGTCTTTATAACCTATACAGTAACTATTTGAGCATTATCCTTGGAGGAGATGAAATTTGAACTAGTGACTTCAATATGGCTGTACAAGAATAAGTAGTTATTTTGAATTGATGTATATTTATTTTACTTATTTACTCAATTTATATAGCTGCCCATCTCATGTTTATGTGACTCCAGGTAGCTTACAATAAAACAAATAACAAACCCACAAAATATATAATATAAAACAAAAATAAAAACACATAGCAGCTGGGCATCTAACCTGTCATCCATACAACCAGGAGATGGGCTCTAACCCACGCCCAGGGCCCCAAGCTCGGGCACAAAGCCAAGGTTTCAAGGCCCTACAAAAGGCCAACAGGGACAGGGCTAATCTAATCTCAGGGGGAAGGACAGAAAAGGGTCTCCTTCTGGGCTCCGCTTACCGACACTCCATAGCTGATGGTACCCAGAGCATGCCCTTCCTGCCAGATTGGATAGGACGGGTAGAAACAACTGGGGAGAGACGGTCTTGTAAGTAACCTGGTCCCAAGCCATGAAGGATTTCAAAGGTGACAAACAGCACCTTGAATTGCACCTGGAAGCACACCAGAAGCCAGTGCAGCTTGTGGGGCAGTTGTGTCACATGTGCTGAGTAACTGGTACCAATAACTGCCCATGCTGCCGCATTTTGCACCAGTTGAAGCTTCTGAATACTCTTCAAGAGCATCCCCATGTAAAGTGCATTGCAGTAGTCCAATCTGGAGGTCACAAGGGTATGAATGACCATGAGCAGGGCTCCTTGGTCCAGGAACGGGCGCAACCCTAAGCTGTGCAAAGGCCCTTATGGCCACGGCTGCCACCTGCTCTTTGAGCAGGAGCCATGAGTCCAGGAGGATCCCCAGATTGCGCGCTGAGTCTGTCTGGGGCAGTGCCACCCCATCCAGAACCAAAGATGGAAGGTCCCTGGAACCATGAGGTCCAAAAACCCGGAGCCACTTGGTCTTGCTTGGGTTGAGTTGAAGCCTGTTGCGCCCCATCCAGGCCCCCACAGTCTCACGGCACTGAGACAGAACCTCCACAGCATCATTCAGATCAGAACAATTTATATTTATCTTAGTAATCTTTACTGTAGCCTGTAGGATAGATCAGTGTTATTTGCCTGACATTTGCAAGTGGGAAGTACAGAGGCTAGTGCATAAATTCAGAAAATTTATGGACTTCTGCTTGTACTGGAGGAAGAAGGGGGCAGGGAGGCAATCTTCAGCCTTCCTTGTGCCTTGTTGGCGCCTCTGTTTCCACAAAATAATTTCACCAGGGATTGGAACCTCCTGGGTAGCATGAGAAAAGAGGGCCGTTGGTGAAACAACTTCTCCCTTTCCTAGATGCTGCCTGCCAGGTGAAATTTGAATGAAACATTTTCCAGTTTTTGCTCTTAGAAAAGCATGCTCTTATGAAGCGATAGCTACTTGATAGGTTGATCACAGCCATGTTGTTAACATGCGAAAAAGTGGAGTTATGGAGTGATTCTCATATATGTGTTTTGTTTTGGTTTTTGTTTTAGTTATTTATTTATTTATTTGGGTGATTGAATACACTCATGTTGAGGTGAATTTTTCTTAACATAAAATACTTCATAGTATGGAATTCCATTTTACTTGCAGTACTTGGCTCACTGGCCAGAGTATTTTATTGTTGCAGAAGCCCCTGGAGGAGAGTTGATGGGCTACAGTAAGTAGAACTTCTTCCTTTTTTCTATCTTGACTTTTAATTAACTGAAAATAGGCTTGTGATAACTGAATCAGTTTTAGAAAGCTTTTGATCAGTTGTAAAGATGCCAGAGAAGTCCTGGACTGAAACGTCCCTAATGTTTTGGTCTAATACTATATGTCCAAAAACTACAGAGGGCAAGAACCAATGTTTCTTTCAAAGTCCATATAACTTTAAAGAGATTTTCTGACTTTACAACAAAGCATTTTACTTGTTGTCAGAAATCAGATTTTATGCTGACTTGCTTCATAGACAATTGGCCTTAACCAAGCATGTTGCTTGCCGGAAATTAATTGGGCCACCCCCACCTTGATTTAAGTGGCACTATATTTTCAATAGCAGATTTACGCCACCCACTTTAACTGTGAAGGGCATAGGGTTGTTAGATTAGGGAACTGAACCTACATGCTCCTCCCTTTACATCCTTGTAGCTCAGTTTCACGCAGTGATGAAATAATGATTTGGGCTGGTAGTCCCAGCAGTTCCAGTCCTGGGCGGTGGTTGCTAATGTCAGAAGGAAACCATGGAGCTAAGCAGGCCCTAAGGAGGAGTTAGGAAGAAGTACGTTTCTCTCTTTGCTCTGAGTGGCTCTCTTCATCCTGCTCTGGGGAGTCACAGACAGAGTCCTCCTCATAATCTCTCTGATGTGAGTGGGAAATGCAAGACGGTCTCCTGATCAGGTGGCTAGCAAAAATTGGAGCCTGGCCCTATTATTCTTGATACTCTGGGAAATAACCAGAATTTTCAATCACCAGAATCAGAATTACTCTTTTTTTCCCCAGTGAAACTGAGGTTCCTCCAAATGCTATATCATCTGCCTTTTAGCTTTGAACTTGAGATTTGTTTAATTAGGGTGCTTCTGTAGTGAAATGTTTTTTTTTTCTGCTGAAATAAACTGCTAAACAAATACCTGAACAAAAGATCAGTTGCAGCATTTCTGTAGGATGATCATGGCTGCTTTTCCTTGCAGTCATGGGGAAAGCAGAAGGTTCGGTGGCCAGGGAAGAATGGCACGGCCACGTCACCGCGCTCTCGGTCGCGCCTGAGTTTCGCCGGCTGGGTCTGGCTGCTAAACTGATGGAGCTGCTGGAGGAAATATCTGAAAGGTGGGGCAGATTTTGGAGGTTGTAAGCAAATGTATTGGCTGCGATCTCAAGGAGGTATTGATTAGGTGAAAATCCTAATTGCCAGTATTTGTTTTAGGGAAAGAACATACCTCTAGCCTGATCTGGTTTGTTAGGCATCAGAGAGATGACAAAATCTAAAGGATAGCCATATTTTGTTTTTATGCTGCAAGTTAGGAGTGTTATGGCATCCTTAAAAATATATGATGGCATAAGATTTATAGATTAGGTGTAGTTTTCAATTTATTTTAAAAATTCCATGGTTGCAGAAAGCAGTTTTAAATAATGCAGTAGGCCAAATGCTTTTAAATATAAAACAGCTAGTAAATCTTTGCATTTATGGGTGGATTTTATATGTATAGCAGTAAGAAAACTGACCATTCATGATAGCGCTAACTGAAATAGAAAGAAACATGTTAATGTGAAATGTATAGACATAGATTACCTCTCATTGTAATTTGAGTGTTCTTAGTTTTTCCTTGTATCTCTTTTCAGTGTGGTAATATAATTGAGCCAAAATAGATGAGAAAATTAATTTGACCTGTTCTAGTCATGGAATAACCTAACACCTCAACTCTTATTTGAGAATTGCTTGATGCGCATAAGCAGATACATCTTCCCACTTACTTAGCACTTTTGGTGCAAAAAGAGTAGCAAACTCCCAGACAGGCTTTGTAGGAAACACTGGAATTCTGCCTGCTAATTACAGTGAGATCTTTTTCCATGGAAATATGCACATGATTGGCTCATGGTATTTTTCCATGGCTTCTGCTGAGCATAGCAATATGCCAGGTTATAGTGGTGGATGAAGGAGTTACTGGATTTTCTTCTGCTCTCTGTGTTTTTGTGGGTATTCTTTAAATATTATGTAACAGCTTTAGATATCCCTATGATTTTTATATGTTAAGCTGGGCCCTAGTTGCATCAGGTGACTTTAGGGCAGTGTTCTCGACCTTGGCAACTTTAAGACATGTGGACGTCAACTCTCAGAATTCTGGGAGTTGGCTGGGGAAT